CAACAACAAAATTGTGATTTGTCCAGCAACAGATATAATCCAGGATGGAGGAATCATCCTAATCTTAGATGGTCTTCGCAGCAGCAGCAACAACCTTCACCACCATTTCAGAGTTCTGCTGGTCCAAGCAGACCTTATGTGCCTCCACCAGTTCAGCAGCAGCAACAGCAGCAATATCACAGGCAGCAGAATGAAGCTCCTGCACCATCAGCTCCTCAACCTTCTACTTCCGAACCTTCATTGGAGGAGTTAGTGAGGCAGATGACAATTCAAAATATGCAATTCCAGCAAGAGACCAGAGCTTCCATTCAGAGCTTGACCAATCAGATGGGACAGATGGCTACTCAACTTAATCAGGCACAGTCACAAAATTCAGATAAGTTGCCTTCACAGACTGTGCAGAATCCAAGAAATGTGAGTGCCATCACATTGAGGTCCGGGAAACAGATTGACATGCCCACTGTAGTACCTCCACCGCCATCTGCACCTGTACCAGTTCCAGTTCCAACATCTGCATCTGAGCAAAATGATCAACCAGTTGGTGTCAAAAATTTTCATGCAGGTGGACCTTCTTCTAGCACCAGTTCAGATTTGCAGCCTCCTATCCCTCTTCCATTTCCTCCTAAGGTGATTCCAAGCAAAAAAATGGAAGAGGTGGATAAGGAAATCTTGGAGACCTTCAGGAAAGTAGAGGTGAACATACCTTTGCTTGATGCCATAAAGCAAATCCCGAGATATGCAAAATTCCTCAAGGAGCTGTGCACTCATAAAAGGAAGATGAAGGGAAATGAGAGAATCAGCATGGGCAGAAATGTGTCTGCTTTGATAGGTAAATCTGTTCCTCACATTCCTGAAAAATGTAAGGACCCAGGTACTTTCTGCATACCTTGTATTATTGGGAATAACAAATTTGAAAATGCCATGTTTGATTTGGGTGCTTCTATAAATGTCATGCCTCTGTCCATTTTTAAATCTTTGTCTCTTGGTCCTATGCAACCTACGGGTGTGGTGATACAGTTGGCAAATAGAAGTGTTGCCCACCCTACAGGTTTCATTGAGGATGTCTTAGTTTGGGTCGGTGAACTAATTTTCCCTGCTAATTTTTATGTGCTTGATATGGAGGAGGGATTCTCCCATGGATCTGTCCTAATCATTTTTGGCAGACCATTTTTGAAAATAGCCCGAACTAAGATTGATGTTTATGCTGGTACATTGTCCATGGAATTTGGTGATATTATTGTCCATTTTAATATTCTTGATGCTATGAGACATCCATCTGAAGACCATTCTATTTTTGGTACTAAGATACTTGATGATGTTGTTGATGAGTATGCTTCTGATTTTTATTCTTTACATGATAAGAAACATTGTTTTCTATCTAATCTATATAATTCTCTTGCATGCACTGAATCTGATTATGTTTCTGAATTTGTTTTTGAGTTTGATTTTGAATCTATTTCTGTATCCGATTTTGATTCCTGTTCTTTCTTTTATTTTTTTTAAAATTATTCATATTTATTTAAAAAAAAAGAAAAAAAAAAGGAGCGGGGGCGGGGCGGGAAAACTCGAACCCCGCCGGGGACAGGAATGGGGACCTAGATTTTACTTCCGATCCCCGGCAGGTATCGGGAGCGAGAGCAGGTTTAAATTTACAGGGGCGGGGGCAGGGACAGGAAACGTAAAACCCGCCCCGCCTTGCCCCGTTGCCATGCCTAGCCATAACTCTAATGATTGGACCCTGATCCATGCTCTCCCATCATATTTGAGGAGCCATCTCCACGTGAATCAAAACCATAGTTAAGAATGCATATAGAGTATATTTTCTTTGTTTAGTTGTCGGCAAAATGCTTATTTATGTTTGTTGCCATAAATCCACACTCAGTCATTTCCGTTCTCCATTCTTTCTTTTCTCAACAAGACTCCTTTTTTTTAACTGAATGGCAGCGCAAGTTTCCGACCACCTAGAACCGTGGCACACGCTCGCCGGAAAAGTCGTGATGGTCACCGGCGCATCCTCCGGCCTCGGCTGCGACTTCTGTCTCGACCTTGCCCGCGCCGGCTGCAAGCTCATCGCGGCGGCCCGCCGGGTCGACCGCCTGGAATCCCTCTGCCGCGAAATTAACGGGATGGTTCAGGCGGCCGACGACGGTGACCGGAGCCGCCGCGCCGTCGCCGTGGAACTGGACGTCGCCGAGGATGGCCACGTCATTGACAAGTGCGTGCAGAAGGCGTGGGACGCGTTTGGACACATTGATGCGCTGATCAACAACGCTGGTATCCGAGGTAATTGGAATTCTTTTGATTTTTTTTTTTTTTTTTTTTTTTTGCTTTTGCTTTTGTTTTATGTCTATCGAATTGAAACAGACATGTCTCCATTTGGCATTTGACGAGCACCGCCCAACTCTTCAATGAGTAAATTTCAGAGTTTTTTTAAAAAAGAAAAATTTTCATAAAAATAAATATAAGGAAGAGAGAATTCAAGAATTTCTTTTTAAAACAAATCTTGGTAAAATCATAAATAAGGAAGGAAATTGTTCTTATTTTTCAAATCAGAATCTTAAAATCGAAACTAACCAAAAGATTTGTTTGTTGTAGACTATGATGCTTTTTAGTATTTTTTTTAGACTTAAATATGTTTTTAGTCCCTTAAATTTAAGGTAAATATGTTTATAGTTTTTCAAATTTAAAATTATTATTTTTAGTCCCAGTAATTTTAAAAAAAATTATTTTATTTCTTATATTCAAATTTTGTTAAAAAATTTATCAAATATTATTATATAAAATTTATCTATTAATGTCCCTATTAGTAAAAATATCATATTAAATTTGCTTGATATTGCATAACAGTCTTAATTAATTACTTTCAGATATGTTATTGGTGATCGAAGAACTAAAACAAGATTTTTGAAAATTACATAAACTAAAAATGACAATTTTAAATTTGAGGGATCAAAAATATATTTAAACATTTTTTTATTAAATCTTGATACCAAGCATAAAAAATTAAATGAAATATGAATTAAATAAAAATTATTTTAAAGAAGATATTATTAGATAGAATAAAATTATTTAAAATTTACATATATTTTTTTCCATGGAAATTTACATATATTCCCTCATACATATGAAATAAAACCAATTATTTTGCGCAAGAATATTTTTAAGTATTTTTTTATTGAAATAATTTTTAGGAATTTTTTAACTCCTTATTTATTTTAATTTTTATTTGCAATATTTATTTATAAATAAAATTTAAAAATAAATTATCGATGACTAAAAATTGTGTCAAAATATAAATTATTCATCATAAATCTAAAATATAATTTATATGTTTAAAAATATTTATTTATATAAATTTTAAATATAATTTATATAAATTTATATGTTTAACTCCATGGATAACTCTTTCTAATATGTTTGTTTGATTTTAAAATCAATGGTTGTCTCAACAAACCAATTCAAGATCTTTTTGTGTGTTTTATTCTTACTTACACATTTTTTTAGAAAACTTCCTAGTAACTCACCCTCGACTAAATTTCTTTTAGTTAAACAAGCTTGACTACGTAGTTCTTAAGTTATGAATTACCAAAATATAGATATATTTTATTGATATAGATAGTACTAATTAATTTCTTTAAATCATCCTCAACTATACAAATCTTTTGATCTCTCTTATATTTAGTGTGTTAAGATTGATACACACTTAACTTATGCATTACACATGCTAAAATACTACTTTAACAAAAATTCACATTTAACAAATAAAAAATGTAAGAATCAATTTGCAAGACTCGACAATGATTTTGAGAAATTGACGGCATCTGTGAACCATTGTATTCTAATTCTATAAAAAAAATTGTTATTTTGATATTTGCCATGGATTTAAATTTGAATTATTTTTGTTCATGAGTAAATTTACAATTTAGTAGTGTATAAGTTGAGATCTTTTAAAATATACGTGTATCTAATTAAAACTTTCAAATAATAAAAATGTTTTTTTACATAAATAATAAAAATAAGTTATGTGATATTCATTATAAGAACTATCAACAATTTTTTAAAAATGGTGTACAAAAAATCATATGTAGGATATTTTTTATCTCTTAAAAAAAGTCTTGCTATTGAAAAGTATATAATTTCAAAGATTTATTTTATAAGGTGATTTTATGTGACCTTTTATAGAATTTATTTATACCACATTCTTCTGTTAATTTTGATTTAATTTAATTTTCTCTTTTTATTTTTTTTCCCTTTCTTCTATCTCTTGTTCTATTGCTCTTTTTTCTTTATCCTTTTTTTTTCTCCCTTTATTCTCTCTCTACTCTTTGGATTTGACTCCATTAAAGTGAAAATATTTCACTTTAGATAATAAAATATAATAATAACTATTGATTTTATGATAGATATTATAATTAATTTTAAATTTTATTATACATGTATTTGATTTTATCAAAATTTTCCATTGTTAATTTTTTAATCAATGATTATTATTACATTTTATCTTCTAAAATGCACCATTCATTTTAGAAGAGTCTAATCCCTAATCCTTTTCTTGTTTTTCTAATATCTATATCATTTTTGTCTTCTTTCGCCTATATTTCTTCTCTTCTTGATATTATTGTAAATCTTATCAATATTTATATTTTGAAATTATTAAATATTTAATTATTTTCAAATTATTAAATATTTTTATTTATTGTTAAAATTATTTTTTAATTATTGAATATATAAAACTTAATAATGACTTAATTTTAACACTAAATTGTCAAAATTTTACACATGTATCTAAAAATAAATTTATCATATGATGAAAATTAATTGTCTTGTACTAAATTAAATATTTAAAATTTTAAAAATCTGAATTAATTTATCAAAAAAAAATTTAAAATGAGGGAAATTTAAATTAAAGTAATTCAAATTTCAAATTTATTTATTTAAATTTAACATTCTTTGTCCAAACACAATCTAAGAGAAATTTTTAAATTATTTACAAAATTAACATGTGAAATGTATCGAAGAAAGAAAAAAAGTATAAAACTTTTTAATGTAATCAATATAGTGAAGAAAGTGAAAGTTTCATTCTAAGTTACACGCAATGTCATTTTGTAAACAATTTAAATTATTTTTATATTTCCAACAAAATTTATGAATAAATGCAACTTTGTGTAAATATTTTGAAAGTTATACACGAATGAATACCTTAAATTTAACAATGTTGTGAATACCTTAAATTTAACAATGTTTTCAATGTTTTAGTTGTGCACTTAAAATTGAAGTTTGTTGCAAATTCAACATGCTCCTTATCCTAATTATGTGACTGTTTTTTCATTCTCCAATACAAGTATGGTTTCATATTTATTTGTTAAGGAGAAATTAAAGGATTAGCTTTTAAAGAAATTGTATTAGTTTAACTTTTCTTTGTCAAAATTTTATCATTTTTCATTATATTTTTCCATTAACTCTTATAACTTTAAAATGTTTGCCAAAAATCTATAGTATTTTATTTCGTAACTTAATAAATTTATAAAATCCTTTTAATTTTATGAATTTTCAGAGTATAAATTCGTTGACATTTTAACAATAAAATTAATATAAAAGTATTTTAAACTTTTTTTACAAATAATCATTATATTTTAATATAATCTTTTAAAATTTATGAGGTTATTATTATTTATTTTTTTAAAACTAGACTTATAAAATTTCAATTCAATACAATTGTTTAATAATTTGAATGTTAAAGGACTAGAAACGTGGCACACCCTTCTTTTGAATTTATAATACTTAAACCTGAAAATTTGTGGAAAGAGTCCGACCTGCATGAGCATAATCACCATAAAAATCTTACATATTAAATTAAGGGTGTAAGCGAGTATGAGTAACCATAAATTTGAATCGACCCAAATCAACCCAATATATAAGTTCGGATTCGATTTTTCAGTGTTCGAATTAGACTCAACTCAACTCAATCAAAATTCGATAATATATAGGTTGGGTAACGAGTTTTGTGTTTTCAACCCGTTACCAACCCAACCTAATCCAGTCATATATAATAATAATAATAATAATAATAATAATAATAATAATAATAATAATAA